GCTTCTCTCGGCCAGCGTGTCTGAACCTGTTAAGCAGGCGCCTGGCTCGCAGCTCTGGTGTTTCTTCCCGCCCCAGCGCAGTCCTGGGAGGCAGCTCAGGTCTTCGCGCCTCGCGCGGTTGTTGGAAGCGTGACTCCCCACCGCACTGAGCGAGCGTCTGCGAGGGCGGCAGGAACGCTTCACGTGTCCTTTCTCATGGTCCGGAATCCTGTGGTCTCTCTCGTTCCTGTGCAGTTTTCAGCTGGACTTGACAGGCTGTGGGGTTGATAGCAAGGAGTGTTGCAGTCCAGTGTTTTCTGCAAATACAGCTCTACAAAATGAACTAGTAGGCTGTTTAGACTTTTTCAGGTAAATTGCAATGCCAAAAAGAAAATTACTTGGCTTTCTACTATGATAATGCAATTAATAACTCAGTGAAGAAAGAAAATAATTAGATCGTTTGAAAGTAAGATAATAGAGTAAGCGTGTATGTGTGTACGTGTCTTTTCTGTGGTACTTTACAAGAGAGTAGCAACTCTAATTGTATGCCACAAACTAGGTAACTTGTTAAAATAGAAGCTGGTTCCTTTGTTGAACAAAATGAGAAGATACAATTCTAAAGTCCTTTTAGATTCATGTTTTGGAACCATGTAGAAGTTTTGTACAGTATACTTGCGATAGAAGGAGACAGGTATATCATCTGAGTTTTTAAAAATTAACTTCAAGTAGTGTGAGTGTCTGGAGCAAGGATATTACCAGAGCCAAAGATTAGGTATTTACCGGTTTCAGTGATTTGCTTACAAAAAGTGAGCTGTATGAAAATACGTAGCTTCTTCATCTAAAATGATATATGATCTCCTGCTTCAATATATAAACTAATCTAGCCTGAGATTTAGGGAGATTTCTCTTATGAGAAATAACTGGCTTTTTTATGAATTATCTGTATTTTCATGTTTTTGTCTTCTGTATGTATGCCAGTGTCTTGAGCTTCTGGAAGCCTTTGGAAAAGGCTACCCAGCTGGGCTGAATGAGTGTTCTTGGGCAACACTGCGGCTTCAGGGCCAAAGCTTTACTGAATGTCATCTCCCCTTCTTCTAGAGCCCTAATTTCCATGGCAGATGGGGGCAGGGATGTTTCCTCTGTGTGCTGAATTTTATATTTGCTTTTACCAACTACCCTTTCCCACTCTTCTCAGACTTCTTATTTCTTCCAGAAAAAGTTGTATTTTGTAAAAATGTGGGCTTTGAAAAGCAGAAGGGAGCCAAGGCGGGGGTTTTGCCATTGATGTGCATGGCGAGTGCTGGGCACATGCGATGCCTCTGATACCCCTCTGAATATCCACCCTGTTCTTTAGGAGGCCCGGCCAGCTGGCAGGCTGTGGGCCAGTTCACTTCCACAGAATGATTCTGGCCAGCTCCCACATGGATGTGATCTTACCCTAACTCGCCTGTGCATAACCATGCAAGCTGCCTCTCTGCTCCTTTACTTCTGGAACGTGGCACAACTTGCCTGCAGAGATGTGCCTGTAGTGACATTTAAGCAGAGATGCTACACTATAGCTTAGCCTTCAGAAAGATAAATCTTTCCACAGTCACCATCACTATTATCCTCTCTAAAAGAGAATACTAGAAATTCCTTCAAGTGCTAGGAATCTTTATTTTTTTTTCTGTAACAGGACTCAAAACATCTGATGTGCTGTTTTTTTCAAAAATACTCTGATAAAATGTTGTCAAAATCACCTTCTAGCGTAGAAGAAAGGCAAAGTTAGTTACCTAAGCTTAAAATATAATACATATTAAATGATCATTCATGTGAGAAAGTCAACACTAGATGTTTTATATTTCTCTCATGTATCATTTGTTGGTTTTCTGTTTGCAAAGCATTTCATGATTCATTACTTTCATGATATTGTAATTTCATGTTGGATGCTGCTACTGAAATACTATACAAAAGTCACAGTTGTAAATTATTTGAATCCCCTCCAACTGTACTGTGGTGAATATTTTGGGGGAAGACTAGGAGCTAATTTAATACTTTGTTTTATAATTAATTTAGAAATAGTTTTAGCTTTAAGAAAGTGATATATTAATTCTATATTTCAGAACAGAAGCATGTGCTACAATTTTTTCCTTAAATTAGTATTATTATTCTTATATCTGTATTATTTCTGATATGTATCAGGTTTCTAATAACAAAATCCTTGTTTTGTTTTTCCGTGAACTGCAGAAACTATGCCTGTTCCAGACCAGCCCTCGTCTTCTGACAAGACAAGTTCCCTTAGTCCTGTGTTGAACACATCCAACGGCGATGGCTCTGAAACTGAAACAACCTCTGCCATACTAGCTTCAGTTAAAGAACAGGTATGGAAGTGCTGCATCTGCAGACTAAAAACAATAATATGATTTAGTGTTTTTTTACAAAGGTTTCATAGGTAGTATCCTAATAATTTCGCTCACAAATGCATATTGCAAAGAATGTTAAATATTTCTTCATGTCTTAGTATACATGCATGTGCTGTCCTACAAGAAATTTAATATAATTTAATTGAATTGTTCGTTTTATTCTCTACTTTCACTCTTTACTGTGAATGGCGGTTTTGAAAGACGTCTCCTTTTCTTGTTGGCAATTTGCATGTGGAGTTACAGCATATAGGCATGGCATATAAGAACTATAGACAGTTGAGTAGTTGTGGAGAAGATGTGTTATCCCAGACTTTTTAGTTAAAAGAATTTATAAGAATTGTAGGATTTTAAAATTTAACATGTACACTTTTTTTTTTTTTGTGTAAAACTTGATGTGAGATTATTTTAGGCCAAAATCGGGTCGGGACAGAGGCTTTCAGCCTTGTATGATTAAACCCAAAAGTATTAGAATGTTTTGAAAGTAAGGTTGTTAATGCGATTCTCTGCTCAATTCTAATAAGACAGGTTTGGACATTTTAATGTAAATTTTTTGTGGGTTGTGTGTCTGAGGTTTTTCTTAGTGCCTTTTTGTACATCAGGGGATGGTTAATATTCCAGTTCATGAAAACACCTGGTCTCTGTCACTGCCTCATTTGGCGCAGCAGCAGGTATCCCAAAGAGAGACATTAAAAGATAGCGGCTTTCAGTCAGCTTTTTCCTTGCTGTAGGTGTCTAAATTGGTTCTCCAGTTATAAAGTAGTGATCGTTCCTTGCCTAAGACATTTGCTGCTTCTTTAGTAAAATTAATGCGTGAATTCAGCTTATGATATCTAACACCTTTGGAGTAATAGCTGTTGAGTCATTGGGCTTTTATAAAAATTATGAATTTGACTTAATGTTTTCTTTTTGATATGTACCAGTTCTCTCTTTTGGGTGTTAAATGTTAGTCATATTTTCTGGTTCTGTAAAGAGGAGTGCAAGAAAGAATGGTTATAACGCAGAGTTTTGCCTTAGGATTTATGGCATGTTGTTGTACTGGAATTACCCACGGTTTAATGTTTGTATGCGTATTCTCTTCCAGGATAATAGCATTACTTGGGCACTTACCAGTTTTTCAGCCTGTGTTACTGTATTGTTTTGAAGAAAAATTTGATTCTCTGATGTTGAAAAAACATACAGGGAACTTACACAGGTAGAAGACAGGCTGCATCTGCCTGTTAGAATGTGAAACACAGTATTGAGTAGTGAGAAGTTCTTCTCTGTTCTGGGGTTTTGTGATGATAATGCTAGTTCATACCTGGTAATATATTTTGCAGCTGAACCTCCCACCCCCATAAATCAGTGAATTAAGTTCTAGAGGGAATTTGGTGCTGAATCCACTAGATAAAAAGGATTTTAAGTGGTAAAATATTAGCAAAGTTGTTTCTGATTCCTGTAAACCACAGCAAAAAGGAGCCTGTAAAAGAGTTCTGCATTCTTTTATCACCAAGATCAGCCTAGTCAGCTAAACTAAGGTACTGCTGACTAACAGGATAATCTCTTGAATCATTGTGGTGCAGGGTACCAAAATTTCTTGATGCTGGAAGACTGTACTAAGCTCCTAAATGAGACTGATTTTTCTTTTGGACCTTAAAGCATTCCTCAGAGTATATGGTGATTTCAGTAAATTTGGCTTAATAGTAACATTTATGCTCAGCCACGCTCACTGCTGGGAAAACCATGTAATTGCAATATTCTTTTTCTGTTTTGTAGTAAAGAAGGGAGGGGGGGGGGGGAGGGGGGGGGCGGCATGGGACACAACAAAAATACCCCAGACCTGCTTTTGGGCGTTTTCTATTCCCCAAAATACTGTGTGTTTGGAGAGACTTCCATTTTTTGATGTTCTGTTGGAAGATTTCTAGGTCAGGCCACCATCCCATGCTTCAGGCAGGTGAAATACGTTACAGTGATTCTGCATTAGAAGAGTAAATGAAGTAGGTTTCTAACTGACTCTTCAGAAGGGGGTAGCCCTCTGCTTTGTAGAAGAATGGGTGAATTACTTTACTGCCTGGTATGTGATTTTGCTTTATGTGCCCTTTGACTGTAGCCGAAAAATATACCTAGGGATTTTAGAAATACAAGCACAAACAATTATTCAAAAGTACTGCTGATAAAGGAAAAGATGACAGAGTTTATAATTAAGGTAGCTTGGTAACTGGAGCATGTCTCCTACGAGGAAAGGCTGAAGGAGCTGGGCTTGTCTAGCCTGAAGAGGAGAAGGCAGAGAGGGGACCATATAAATGCCTACAAATATCTCAAGGGTGGGTGTCAAGAGGATGGGGCCAGACTCTTTTCAGTGGTGCCCAGCAACAGGACAAGGGGCAATGGGCACAAACTGAAGCAGAGGAAGTTCCGTCTAACATTTTGTGATTCTGTATATTTCAATGAATCAAATATGTCACATTTTCTTCATCTGTGCTGATGCTTAATTTTAAAAAGTTTCCTTTTTAAATTGTTTTGGACCACTTGTGGCAACTTCATGTGTTACTTCTCATGAAATACCTAGAACCGTGTCTTTGAGTGACTGCAACAGAGTAAACTGGGATTTATGATACTGAAGACTCTAATAAGTGTTTGCAGTCTTTGAAGAGGGCAGGACACATGAAGGAAGGCACAGAGAAGTCATAGATGTATTTATTTGCTCGACATATCTCCTATGTGAAACATAAATGATATATTCAGAGAATCTGAAGCTTTGCTGTGCTTAGTTTGAAGAATACATGTCCCTGTGCTATCCTATTTTGAGGAGCAGATTTACTGGGTCTAAAAAATTGTGCTTGATATGTCAAATGTAAAGTAGCATTCATACTGGTCATGACTGGATCAGAAGATTTAGCCATGAGCTTTTCAAGGTGAGGATTTCTGTCAAAATAGAAATTGAAACCTGTAATTTGTTGTTGAAGAGTTAGGCTGATTTTAGTAAATTCAAATCTTGAACTCTGTGCTTTAACGTACAAGCCATTTCATTTGTGTTTTACCTCTGGACAATCGTGCTGAATCACTTCGGGTTTCAGACTTCTTAGATGCACTTGTGAAGAAGTGATGGATGAAGAATGTGAATCCATTTTTTTCTCCTTGCTGCTAACTTGCTTAAGCTCAGCAGACACTGCTGGAGGGGAGGTCAGAATCATAAACTGTGTGTCTAAGAAATGGTGAGGTGCCAGTCAGTGAACTTTGGCTTAGGTGTTTTCAAGCTGCCCTCATCAAGAGGAATGGTTAATGACATCTGTGAAAGTGAAAGCTGTTGGGGGTTTTTTTTGTGTGTTTTTTGTTCATTTTTAGACAGTCACAAGTAAGTTCTTTAAAAAGGAATCATCAAATAGTATTAAAATACTAAAAAAACAGTTTCAGTTTTCCATGCTTTATAAAAAGTGGTTAAATATCTGTGAATGAAGAAGGATTTTTTCTTCTCTGTGGTATACTGGTAAATGTATTTGGCCCAATGCTTCACAGGTTTTAGACAACATAAGGCCATTTCTGTATCTGCTTTGTCATCTGCTTTTGTATGTGTAAATATGGGAAAATTCGTCAACAAACATATCGAGGTATCAGGACTATAATTTGTGAGAACATGCGTGATAGATAAAACTATTTCTTTTGTAAAAAGCATGATATGTTTCTCACTGGGAATTTCTACCTATGCAAGAGACTTCTGATCCCACTTGGTGTTAAAAAAATTTCCTGGGAAGAAAGTATTGCTACTGCTGGTTTGAAATCAGAAATAGCTGCTGGAGAACCTTCTGAGTAAAGATGTAGTAAAGCTGATGCTTTTCCTGGAAGTCTCCAGACGCATGTGGTTCACAGTGCTTTGGTTCTTGGCGTACAGAAACTGCTCCCTTGGAAGCTAAGGAGGAATGTAGTGACAATGACTTAGCAGAGGCTTGTTTTGGCAGATTTTTTTGAGAAAAACACTTGCAGAACATGAGATAAAATAATTTCCTAAGAGTGAGATCCGTCTTGAAGCACTGACAACTGTATTCAACTCAGAAATAGTATACATTTGTTTTAGTTTCTTTATGACTCTGGTTTCCTTTACCATCTTAGTTATGCAAAGATCAAGTTCTGCAATGTTTAATATTTCTTTTGAATCCTTTTTAAATCTACCTATGTCAAATAAAGTTATGTGTTTCCAGATCTCTGTCTTCATTTCCCCTGATGCTGTGAAAAGGTAGCACGCCCTCACTCCAGAAGAAGCTTAGGCTCTAGGACTTTTGGATTATTTCTCATACTGTTTAAATAAATGATTAAGATGTTCTTTAAAACCTAAGGCTGATTCCAGACAAAACTGAAGACTTTAGGTTTGAGATGGTTGCTGATAGCTTCTTGTTGTTGTTAGAAGAAGAATGAGTGTGTCATCTTTAGGGTTAAAAACATCCTGGCTTTAGAAGACTTAAGTTTTTTCTGAAGTAACTTCTGTTACTTTTAAATACTTATCACTTTTCCCATTGTAAAGCTACTTGTTTGTCAAGAAATTGTGGTTAAAACTAGCCTAAAAAAAACATACAGCGTAATAATGACAAAGTGTTGTAATGCGTGTCAGTGTTAAACTAAGATAATATACATGACTTAAGTGACCTTGTATGTTAGGTGTTAGTACACTTTGGAAAGAGAGTTACGTATGTCATGCGCATCTTATATATGTATATGTAAATAAAACCGCAGATAGAAAATGGCTGCAGAAGCTGAGGTCTAATTTTGTCTCTTGGCTCTGCCAGATTTTCTCCCGTGTCTATATCATGATTGAAGTTTTAAAACAAAATCACACATCTATATGGAGGTTTCATTTCAGACTGTTTTCTAAGGTTTTAAAGCCAGAAGAGACTTGTGAAACCCTGTACTCTGACCAGCAGGTCATGACACTTCATGCAGTCATGCAAGTATTGGGCCTCAAGTCTGATCACAGAGTGACTTTTGCAGCT